TAAAAAAAAAAAAAGCATAAAGTGATTTTATTTATAAAAAATAGCTAGCAACTTATTTTATATTTTATACTGAACTTATAAAAAGAAATTTAACAAAATAACTGTTCAAGACTGAATAAGCATTTTTATATTAGTTAAAATTGTATTTAATATAAATATTATAAAAATTATTATTTATATTAGAAATTATAAATAATGTAGTAAAAAAAATTATTAAATTGTATAATCTAATATAATTTATTATTAACCTTTATTTATTACAGTAGCACAAAATCACATTACTGGTGCTCAACACCAGTATACTGTATAATATAAAGATAATTATTAAACCAAATTAAATTTAATTAATATTAGGACTAAAGCTAAAACTTGGAATAAGGCAAAGATATAGTTTATACCAAAATTTTTTCAATAAATTTTTTTATTAGAACATAAAAGGTGGTTTCTTAATCAAAATTTTGAGTTATTAAAGATTTTTTAAAAAATTACAAAGTATGTTTTGATTTTTATATTACACCTAATCTTGATATTACACTGCAGATCAATAATTTTATTGGTTAAAATTGATGTGGTATTGAGCACCACTGGTGCAATTTAGTAAAACTGTTTTATTATTATATTTATAAATATTATTTCTTTTTGCTATTAAAATTTTAAAATGAAATCTAGTCAAAACAAAATTTTTCTGTTTTTTAAGAAAAATTTAAAAATTTTTAGAAGATATTTTTTAGTATTAGGAGTAGGGTTTAGGGTTAGGTTTATTAATAAATAAGTATATATAGACTTTATAGGCTCTAAGAGTGAACATAAGAAGTTCCTAGTTTCATATTGATCAGATTTTATTTTAATCTATGACAATTATTAATACTGCTAATATAAAATAATTATATATATATTATAAAACATATAATGCATTATTTATACTTATTTTTTTAAAAAATTAAGATAAGCACTTAGAAGTCTAGCACATTTATTAAACTTTAGTTCAAATATCAAGGCTACTACATGGGTCACTTCTGACTTTGTTATATTAATGAGAATATAATTGACTATATATACAACTTTATTTATTGCCTATTTAAGAGCTTTGCTATATAAGGATTGAAATTGGTCAAAAATTTTTAGTTGATTAATCAGTCGACTAAAACTGTTAGTCATTGACTGACTTAAAATTGACTAATCGACTAATCGACTAATCGGTTAGTCAATTAGTCGATTAGTCAACTAGTTGATTAGTCAATTAATCGATTAGTTAATTAGTCGACTAGTCGACTAGTCAATTAAGTGATTAGTCAATTAGCCGATTAGTCAATTAGTTGATTAGTCGATTAGTCGATTAGTTGATTAGTCAATTAGTCAATTAGTCGATTAATCAATTAATCAATTAATTGATTAGTCAACTAGCAACTAGCTTAATCAATAACCAATAGTTTTAGTCAACTAAATAATTGACTAAAAATTTTGCAACCCAAAAATATGTACCAGTTCAGAATGAATATCTGAAAAAAATTTTGAAGTTTGATTTAACACATGGTTTTATATATTTATTTTTATTAATTATATACTTTGCATAAATATTACAATATATAATAATACGTATACATTTATAAAAGGTTAAAAACTTTTACATTATTAATTTTGTTTATTCGTGTGAATGTTTTTTGATAAATTATACATTTTTTTCAGAAGTTTTTCTTTGTATATGGGTTTTCATTATTGCCTGGTTGACATTTTCTTGAGAAAACTTATACTTCCTTCATTGTACTGATACAGGTTGTAATTGAATTTTTGCTTAACATCATAATAATTCGGTTGTTGCTCAATTTACCGAAAGCTATTTACTCGACAGGTCACTTACTCAACATCACATAGGGTTAGGATTAGCATTTAATTAGCTGCAGGTATATATTTTTAGCAATTCGTCACCTTTGTGATGTCGGGTAAGTAACCTGTCAGGTAAATAGATTTTGGAGAATCGTACTATAACCTAATGATTCAGCCTTTATAGTAAAATTTCATTAATAAAGATAAGATGCTAGTTTGTCCAATGATATAGATTCAGCCTTTTCACATTTTTAAAATTTTAATACCAGCAAATAGTTGTCCATATACAGTATCTTTTTTTCACAAAAAATAACATTATTACTTAATTTTCTTTGACAATAAGGTTTTGGTTAACTGTATATTGGTCTTTGATATTTTCTGACTGATTTAAGACACCTTCATTACTATTAAGATCCACATATAAAACTACATTAAGCTGTCAATATTCGTATTATTGAGTGAAAAAATTTTTTGGAGTGGAGTAGGTAATCAGCCAAGTTGAACGAATCAGTTTGTATTTTTATTATTATTTAATTCTATCTTTTTTCATTATTTATATGAAATGTGATGCGAAGTGTGAAGCAGAATATGAAGTGAAATATGAAGCAAAATATGAAGCAAAATATGAAGCAAAATATGAAGTAAAATATGAAGTGAAATATGAAGCACAATATGAAGTGAAATATGAAGTAAAATATGAAGCAAAATACGAAGTGAAGTAAAATATGAAGCAAATACGAAGTGAAATATGAAGTGAAATATACGAAGTAAAATATAAAATGAATTAATAAAGAAATGAATTAGCTTTTAAAATAACGATAATTACTATAATCACAATGACGAATCTGTAAAATTATTATAGTAGTGTAACCTATTATGAAAGAGCTCAGTACGTAAAACAATATACATATTGCACATTATTCTTAATTTGTTAATTTATTCATTATTGATTTGTTAGTGCGATAAAAAAAAAAAATCATCCACAGTGTGATAATATTTAAATAATCTTGCTATTTATAGCATTTGTTTAAATGAAAGAATAATTTAGCATCATTATTCTTAAATACAGAAAAAATTTGTTGTATATTATTTTTCCAGATCTTTGTTTAACCACTAAATATATTGATGGCCTAATGCAATCTTCACATAAACACAAATATACCAAATTGGTAACAGATTTAACATGAACATTTAACAATATGAAAGCATTATTTAACTGTGTCAATGATTCTGAGATGGATGATGCTGAAATTTGTAGATTCATCTAATCAGGTTTCATAAAGGGAACTATTTTGAAATGTTTTGAATTAAACTTGAATAATTTTTGCATATCTTTATATTTTGATTAAATAATAATAATTATTATTAGTATTATTTTGAATCAAATGTCATTATTTTGTTTATGATAAAGTAAATTGTTTTTGTAAAGGAAATTGAAATTTTGAAAAATTTGGCCGAAAGGTAATGGATAACAAAAAATTAACTTGGTGTGGCATTGGGGATCAATTAAAATAATTTATTCATACTCATAGCTATTTACTGTAGAGGTAGAAACAACAATTATATGACAGAAAATTTTGTTTATTAGAATTAATATCACTCATAGCTGTATATGGAAGTGACATTAATTTCAATAAAAAAACACCAAAATTACTATTTTTTATCATTATCAGTATTGTACACTTAGATAATTACTTGACTAATATATTGTATATCAATAATAAAAGTCAGCAGGATGGCATGTCACAATGTCCAATTGGTTTCAATTTTTTGGACATATATCCAAAAAAATTTGAAATCAATTGGGTGCCATCCCTGAAAATCAGTATAAATAAATGCTATATGTTATTAATTTAATTGTCGAAAAAGTAATCTTTTGAAGAGTTAAGTAACTATCCAGCAGTTATATTGATTATTAACAGTTTATGTTTTTTTTTAGGCTTTCTGTTCCTGATTTTGCGTGATAACATGCGCAGCTATCTAGTTGGGTATGTTTATGCACCAATAGCTATATTTACACTCCTGCTGGCATGCCTATGCAGATATAGGGATGTTTATATTTCTATCTCTAAGTTATTTTCTTGTAATTATGTGAATATAGCATTGTAACAGGTTCTAAATGCCTTGAATAACATTTATGTGATTAAGCCATCAAGACAACCATCATATAAGTTATGAAATGTTTAAAAGAAATTGATAAATATAAGCGAAAAGGTACTAACTAAAATATAAGTTTAGAAAAAAATAAAGAAACTAAATTTTAATTCGTTATAATAGATTTACTGTTCATACATACATATGAGTAATAGTCAATTTACAATAAAGAAAATTTTATTCAACACCATAATAAAGCTATATGTTAAAAGCTAGTTTACTTCTAAAAATAATGTTTATAATAAAATTATTTTCTTAAAATAGATCACAATATTTTAAATTTCTTTTTAAAAAAATTAATTGATTTAAAGTTTCTGGCAATAGTCGATTTCTAAGTGCAGTTACATGATTTTCTGCATCAGAAAATAATCTTTCTGATAGAACAGATGTAGCAAGAATTGCTAAATACTTACGGGCTAATTGTGATATAACAGGAAACTAAGTATAATTTTGTCTCCACTATATAAATGGATCATTAGTTTCAAGTGGCGGAATTTGTGACATATCAATATACTTTGCAAATTCATTACAAATATTAGTATCTTGTTGCTGTATAATAGGTTCTGAAAATAGTTCAGCCATTAAAGATTGAGATTGTTGTGATTGAGATAATTGCATAGAATTTAAATTATTTTCTTTATAAGAATCTGCAATTGACTCTTTAAGTTTATTAAATTGATCTTTAATATCATTATGAATTATGCATCGTTTAGTCTAAAAATAAAAATATTTATTATTATTTATATTTTAAATATATTGTATTTATAAATTTTTTATAATAAAATAAATTTTTACCAAAGAAATAAAGTTTAATGCCTTAAATCTTGGATCTAAAAATGATGCATATAATCCAGAATTTGAAGGAACTTGCCAACGTTCTTCAAGATTTTCAAGAAGTGATTTTCGCATAGTTTGACAATATTATTATCATCATTAGAAGTAACATTTTTTAAATTTTGGATTAAAATTTCAATAGCTGAAGTTACTAAACTTAAGGTACAATAATTTTCTCCTCCAAGTAATCATGTTGTTTTTTCAAAAGGTTTAAGAAGAGGAATTAATTTTGAAAGAGTTTCAAATGCAGATAATAAAGGTATAAATTCTTGTAATTTAGTTCTTTCTCTATGACTTTCATAACAAGCACTATTACTTAATGTATTTTCTAACCAATGAATAGGTCTCTTTAAAAGAATAAACCATTCTAAAGCAAAATATATTGAATTCCATCTAATATCAATAGGCTTAATTATATCAACTGGATTTTGGATGCCTGTTGCTTTTTGAGCTTCTTGAAGTTCTTGTCACTTTTTATTACTAGATAAATGTGCAATTAATTCTTTGCATTGTTTAATTGTAACTTCAATTGTTTTAAGGCCATGAGTAATACTAAGTTGCAAAGTATGAGATGCGCAAACTTTTCAATAGCAGCTTTAATATTTGCTCCATTATCAGTTAAAATTGCGATAATTTTTTTATCAAGTTTCCAATCTTCAATTACTTCTTGAATCATATTGTAAATTTCTAAATGACCATAAGGATAAGGCAATTCAATCATTTTTAGAAGAATTTCTTGTATTTGAAAATCTTCAGTTAATCAATGACATGTAATTTCTAAATACGAATTATATCCTTTTGAACTCTATATATCAAGAGTTAATGCTATAATTTCTGCTTCTAAAATTTTTTGTTTTAATGTAACAACGCATTTGTTATATGCCTCAAATAAATAAGATTTAAGTATTTTAACACATAGTGCTTTAATAATGTTTCAAAATTGGCTTACAGGTTTTCCCTTAGCAGCACTCAAATATATAAAGGATAATTTGTTTTCAGATTAAATATGTTTTTTATAAAAAAAATTTAACTGACCTTATAAATTACATCTTATATACTTCTTTTTTATAGATGATTTATTTGGTCAAGATGATCATATTACGTATTCATCTTTTAATGATACTACTAGTATTGTAGACCTGAATAAAGAATCAGAACAACCTTCTGTTTGATCTCAAATTACTAGTTCTGGTTCATTTAATTCATTTGATAGATTACAAATACCTAATGATAATTCAGATTCTGAAACTCTTTGGCGAAAATATTTTACTGTATATACAGATCCAGCTACCAAAAAGAAAAAAACA